TTAACCTAACCCTAACGCTAAACCTAACCCCAACCCTTAACCTAACCCTAACCCTTAACCTAACCCTAAACCTAAACCTAACCCTAACCCTTAACCTAACCCTAAACCTAAACCTAACCCTAACCCTAACCCTAACCCTAACCCTTACCTTAACTTGAATTGGCTTGCTTTCAAAACGCTATTTAAAGCGCCCTTTTTTCTCCGCGGTTGCTGTTGTCGCCCTGCTGATGACGTCAGCGACGCGGTTTAATCGGGTGCGCTTTAGTGGAGCACGGTTTTGTCGTGCCACGGATTTGATGTTACAATGCTTATGGAAGGAGTCCCAGGAAGACCAAAAATCTCACACTGTAATTGCAAACATCACAAGGGCGAGGATACCTATGTGCCCAATAGTGTAGTTGAGGAAGAGATGAATCACAATTCTTGTCTTCAGGGCACCAATCACAACATAGGATGAGAAGTCGAGCACAGGATGGCGTCTCCCTGTGAAAGTCTACCTTCGAAGTTCAAGAACCACCATTCTACATTCTTCCTGCAACAAGGAAAATGGAGGTGCCGGACCTTGCTGTACCAAAGCAATAAACCCCACCGCCCCAGCATTATTTAAATTTGCACCGTGTTTGTTTCAGGCCGTTTGCTTTTAGCTTGGGATCTGCTGAGGCCTTTTTGGGAGGTGTGTAATTATTCATCTTTCCATTCTTGGGATTTGGACATATATGGGCTGGTAACCCCTTAAGGGGGACGGTGGAGCCGTGGAATGAAGAAGACGGCTTGGGTGGTCTCATGTTACCAGCTCCATGGATCATGGGGGACTCCTGCATCTCAAAAGAAGGCATACTGGCCAAATGCTGCTTCAGGGCAGGCCGCTTTTTGGTCTCGTTCTTCGCTTCCGATGGTCTCCTCTGGTGGGCTGATGAGCCTTGGTTGGGGGGTCCATTGCCCTTTAACTGACTCTCAAGGGATGCCACCTGGCTGGTTTTGTCCCCATGGAAGTCCTTTTTGAGACCTGCATTGGGGAGTCTTGGAAAGTTTCCAGGGAGCGTCAACTGTTTATTGGCTAAAGGGCTGTGCAATAACTTGCTTTTGCCGGAACTTTTCAGGGACCGGAGGACGCTAGGAGCAGTCTGAGCCCGAGCTTTGGTACCCTTTCCTTTCTCCGCTTGTACGGTTTGCGTTTGCAGCCATTCCAGCTCCAAAATACGATCCACGTACTTCTCAAGAAATCCAGTCGGTTCCGGCCGGGGTTCCGATTTGCACTCGGTGTTGATGAACGCAGCCAACCCTTTCAAGTCCCAGGTGTTAAAAGGTGGCGGGAGGAAGTCCGGGTAACGGTAGTCCGGTTGCTTCCGTTGCGTCTCGAAGTGGTGCTCAAAGCAAAGAGGGTCGATCTCCTCAGCTCGCAGATTGAGCTCTGGTGGAGAGCAAGGCGACGGAGGGATAGGAATTCTTTCGGAATCGGAAAGGTCGCTGGCGTCGTCTTCCTCGGAGTCTTCCTCTTTCATCATTTGCAAAGATCCGAAGTCCAGAAACATGGCCTCGGTCGTAACCTTCTGACAGGAAAGAGCGCTGGGGCCTGCTTCCTCCACCTCCTCTCCCGAGTTCCTTTCCAAATCGCCTTTTGGTCCGCCATAAAACCCCTGAATCCTCGCATCTTCTGTCCCGCTGAAAGGACTCCACAAGACATCTTTAAATGCAGTAAGAGTTTTGTTGCCCCCGGCCTCGTGACTTTTTCTAACAGGAAGTTCTCTTTTCAACCTGGGCACTCTGTGTGAGGAAGTACAAGTGTTTGGGTTAGTACAAGTGCTGGTTAGGGCAAGTGATTCCCTAAAAAGGGAAAGAAAGAAAAAATACTCATGTCGGCTTAAAAAAAAAATCCTAAAACAATGTATCTGACTCAACCCTAAATCACTTGGGAGCCTAACATTACAAAAGAGAAAAAAGAGAAAACACAAAACACACCAATAGATGAGTAAGGCAATGACATCAACAAACATGAGGGCTCTTTGGTGCTCTCTGAGCTTGGCTGTTTTCTTCAAGATTAGAATTAGAATAACAGAGTTGAAAGGGACCATGGAGGTCTTCTAGTCCAACCCCCTGCTTAGGGAGGAAACCTTACACCACTTCAGACAAATGGTGATCTAATCTTTTCTTAAAAACTTGGAGCATTTACAACTTCTGGAGGCACTTATTTGTATGATATGTGACACGTGACACATGACTGTTGCAGCATTCACAACTTCTGGAGGCACATTTTCCCATTGATTAATTGTTCTAACTGTCAGGAAATTTCTCCTCAGCTCTAAGCTGCTTCTCTCCTTGATTATTTTGCATCCATTACTTCTTGTCCTGCCCTCTGGTGCTTTGGAGAATAGCTTGACTTCCGCTTCTTTGTGGCAGTCCCTGAGATATTGGAACACTGTTTCATTACCCACACCAGGCAACATTATCAGTAAATACTCGGTGATGTTATGCCTAATACCTGTGCCAAGATGCTTATTGCTGCGTTCTGGAATCAGTGCTCAAGGTAAGAATGTCATCCAGTGCTCTGAAGTCTTATCCAAAAGAATTAAAGAGTCATCTCATCTGGTGGAATCTATTATCATTATAACTATCATTATATCATTGTAAATCATTGATCAAGGCAACCAAACTCTTTTAATTATTAATCCTTAAGGAAATTAATGCCAGGAAATTGGCACCATCTGACCAGAATACCCAGTGATCACAGAGGTTGTATTTTCAACTTATCAGTACCTTTCACATCCCATCGTTTTTAAGATAATTGTACCTCCCTTTATCCATTCCCGACTGCCTGTGAAAAACAAATCTACTTCTTATTCCAAAAGTGCAACCATATTAAAAAAGAACTTCACCTGTTTGGTGGATGCCCTTCATAAACCTGCTTTTTTTCTTTGTATTGAGCTGTTATCTGTCTGTCTGTAGCCTCTACGGGAGTCTAAAAGAAATGAATTAACGTTTAATTAAAATTGCAGCGGTATGGAAGACATGAGCATCTAAGGATAATTTGCATTCGGTAAAAATATAAGTAGTCTCACCTTTTCTGCAACAGCAGATGTGTTTTTCGCTGGCCTCTTGGAAGAAGGTTTTAGAAACGTTGATTTCTTTAGTTCTTTTGTGCTTGAGTGGTTCTTTCCTCCACTGGAACTATTTGATTAAAAAAGAGGAGTTTTGTCAAAGATGGATGTTGCGCGGGGGAAGAAAAATTACACCTTTATTTTAACAGGACAAGTTTACATGTATATTGCTCTTTTGCCTTAGAAATCTCTTAATTTTTGTTCTGGTGATTATTCTCATAAAAAGCTTATTAGGAAAGAAATATATAGCATTTTCATTGAAGCAAATCCATTTCTTTTTCTTTCCTGTAAAATGCGTATCCATGTGAATTAAATGGGTGGGCACTGATAGGACACTGGTGATAAAATGTTTACAAATACGTCTAAACTTGCATTTTCTAATTCATGATTAGATTCAGGTCTCTCTCCATCCCCCTTCAAACAAATAAATATCTGACATTAAAAAGAGAATAAAAGAAAGAAGGTTAATATTGTCGAGTCTCTGAACAGTCTCCTATGCAAGCTGTTGTACAATTACATATTCTAAAAGTGTAAACCTGTAACTGGGACATTATCAGCTCATGGAAAGAACCCAATCTTTGAGTGAATAATCTGTAAAGAATCAATAACTCAAGAACTACTGTACTAGGCATAGGACCGTGATAGTGAACCCATGGCATGTCCTTTGTGGACACATGCAATTGCCAGGTTCTGTCACATGCATGCGTGTGTAGCCAGCTGCTCTCTTCCGGGTTCCATCACATGCATACACGCTGGCCAGCTGGTCTTCGCGCACGCATGCGATGGAACTTGGAAGTGCAGCTGGCCACCACATGCATGCACACCAGCCAGCTGCTCTCTTCCAGGTTTCGGTGCTCCAGCACATGTGCTCCTGTTTCAGCACTCAATGCCAAAAAGGTTAACCATCATTGGCATAAGGCTTTGTTAGTTGACATCCATCTGCCTGGAAATTTGGATCCTGAAAGATTGGTGTACTCCTCATTCCTTGAATTAAATAAAGTCATCTATCAGAATTGCATTAGGGGAAAAAAACATAGGATAAATTGGAATCACTTAATGACCTTGTGATTCACTGAATGACCATCTGATTCCCTTAGCCATCATAAAATGGTTGTAAAATCAGGCATGGTCAAATGGTGACCCGCTTAACTGCAACACAATCAAAATTCAGGGCCTAATTGTGGTTAAGAAGTACCTATATTTATTTTTGGTGTTTTATTGACTTTATTGCAATTATTTTGTTTCATTGCTGTAATTCACCCAGAGTCACTAATAATCAAGTAGTATAGATCATCCAGATCTAACTGGTTTTGGACCTAATTCTCTTTCTGGTCTGTAATTTTTGCTAGGAAACCTGTTGCAAGTGGAATTCATATATCCAAGTGATTTTCTCATAAAATGCCATGGAAAGACATGAAGGAAAAGTTAAGGAGCTTTTAAAGTACTGTTTTGCAACAGATGCCACCTTGGCTTGTTTAGAAATCTAAGTCAGGGCAGGGTTGATCTGTGCTCAGATGGGAGATCATTAGGAAATATCAGAAATATAAACTAAGTTGGGAAAAGTGAAGACAACCCATGGCCATATTGAGCAAAAAATAAATAAAATATCTCTCAAGTATTTGTTTATAAGACAAACCTGACCAGAAGATTAATACTTTTTAGTTTAACATATTCTCATGAGGGTTTGCCAGGGAAAAAAGATGAATCTCTCACCTTTCTGAGACTTTAACTTCCAGAATTCCAAGCTGCATAGCCTCCAATTCCAGGTATTGCAATCCAGCAACACAGAGGAAGCCAAGATTCAGAAACATAGATGTCCAGGCTGGTGGGGAATTCTGGGCGTGGAAGTCCACAGATCTTAAACTTGCCAAGATGGAAGAAGATTGCTATAAATATTAACCACTGGGACTACCTGAGAGCATGTGCACTGATGCCTTTGCTGGTATCCCAGATGTTGTTCTGTTTTTTATTTTATTTTTGTTTTATTTATTTTTGTTTTGTCAAGCATGTCTAAGATAACAGATGTAAGTATATACAAGATTATGAATACATGAAATGGATACAAATAAATGGGGTTGCTAGGACAAGGACGGTAGGCAGATTGGTGCGATTATAGGAACGGGGTGAGGTCCACAGTAGACAGTCTAAGGTTAAGGTTTTGGGGATTTGGGGAAGAAACCACAGAGTCAGGTAACGCATTCCAGGCACTGACCACTCTGTTGCTGAAGTCGTATTTTTTGCAATCGAGTTTGGTACAGTTTACCTTAAGTTTGTATCTATTGTCTGCTCGTGTATTGTTGTGGTTGAAGCTGAAGCCGTCACTGACAGGTAGGACATTGTAGTAGACGTTCAACATTGCAAAGCCCCTTTTAGAGAACCCTTACACTTCACCTGTCACTTTATTCCATAATATAAATACAGGATACCTGTGGCTTGTTTTTTCTCACCTTCTTCTGAACAGGGAGCAGCTATTCCCCTCCCAATACTAACAAGGTTTCTGCAATATAAAAGACTTCATCTCAAAATAACTAGGAGGGGGGGGGAGAAAAAACGACATCACTCACTTAGCAAAAAAAATTCTCTATGCTCAGCGATTAAAAATAATCTGGACTGCAAAGCATCCAATGAAAACCCTAGGAAGGGATGCTAAAGGGGAAATCGTACTGACAATTCGGCATTTCGACAACCCCCCCCCCCCGAACTTCGGGAAAACACAAGCCATCCTCCACCTGCATGCAAAAAACGAAGGATCCTTACGTTACCATTCCGCTCCCTTCGTGGGTTTCATGAACCAGGTTTTGCAGGCTCCCTCTGTGCAAGGAGACGGGATAACCTCCGATGCCCGGTCCCATTATAGGGGGAGGAAACGCGCTTTAGTTTTTTGTTTGTTTCCTCCGGATCGTTGCAAGCCACCCAGGCCAAATCAGGGGGAAGCCCCTCGGCGCATCGTATAAAGCCGCTGGTACCCCTGGCCCGGTTCTCGGAGCGGCTTCATGCCTCCGCACGGGGAGCTGCGTTGCATCGCCGCTGCCGGCTGCCACCAAACCAGAAGCCGGTTTCTACGGCGGCTTCAGCCAGCGCCGGATCCATCCACCGATACCTGCCGGGCCCTCGCGAAGCCGGGCCAGCCGAGATGCCCCCGAGACGCGCGTGCGACATCCCGCCACCGTCTCCCCCGGGGAAGCTCAGTCTTGTCGTCCGCAAAGCATTGTGGGCGGCGGGGGGGGAGCCTCGCGTCGCCCCCAGCGGGTTGGGGGCAGCGCGCGCGGTCTCTGCTGCTAAGCTTTCATTCGCTTAACCATGGTTTACCGAAGGAGGCCAGCATTACGTAACCAGGCAGCCTGATCACAACGCTATTTTCTTCCCCCCCCACCTGTAATTACGACCTTGTTGGGGCTGAGAGTGACTAATGCTCAGAATGCACTACCTGACTCTGTTGTAACATCCTCTAACCCCCATAAGGTTAACCTTGAAGTTACGTTTAAGGATATGTTCATCTCAGAATGCACTACCTAAATCTGTTGTAACATCCTCAAACCCCCATAAGGTTAACCTTGAAGTTACGTTTAAGATATGTTCATCTCAGAATGCACTACCTAAATCTGTTGTAACATCCTCAAACCCCCATAAGGTTAACCTTGAAGTTACGTTTAAGATATGTTCATCTCAGAATGCACTACCTAAATCTGTTGTAACATCCTCAAACCCCCATAAGGTTAACCTTGAAGTTACGTTTAAGATATGTTCATCTCAGAATGCACTACCTGAATCTGTTGTAACATCCTCAAACCCCCATAAGGTTAACCTTAAACTGTCTACTGTCGACCTCACCCCATTCCTAAGAGGTCTGCACGGAGTGTGCATAAGCACACCAGCCTGCCTACCATCCTTGCCCTATTGTCCCCATTTATTATTCGTACCCATTTACTATGTTCATATCCATGTTTATACTTATATCTGTTGTCTCGTACATGTTTGACAAACTAATTTTTTTTTAAAAAAAAACAACTTGTCACCCAGAGAAATTTGGTAGCCAGGATGGGGTGGGGGTGGGGGAATGACATGGATTTTGTCATTTGTTAACTAACTGTTACTTTGTGTTTGAATTTATTTTCTCTCTTTCAAAATGATGTTCAAGTTTGTTAGCTTTTAACATTCCTAGATAAATAAGCTGGAAGCTAGCTGGAGATAAGAAAAAGTTTGTTAGTAGAAATTGGGGCCTGGTTTATCTCTTTTATGAACTCCAAACAACCTTTTGCCTGACAATTATGCCCCTTTTGATGTCATTTGACCTCATTTTAATGAACGTGTGTGATATTATGGGATGCAAATGTGTAACATGTTTGACTGCATGTAACTTATTTCCTATGCAAAGGGAAGGTTACTTTTACCCTGTCCAATCGATTTTCGTCTAGTATTTTCTTTGTTGTGTTAATTATAAAAGAGTGAAATATGGGTCTCGAAGTTCTCTCCTTTTTCAGAGAGATCCCACTTTATCAGGGTACCCTAATTATGTTAGGGTTATGTTAAATTATGTTCTGACTCAGTTGCTTATCAGGAAGGTAAACCGAGGGCCAGATTTGGCTTTCAAGGATGAACTTAAACCTGGATCTTCCAAGCTAAAGTTAAGCACTGTAATCATGTAATTGTGGATGCTTGCTGGGGGCGAGTGATGTCATGTGCCATGCTGTTGTTTAGATGAGGCCATTTGTGAGACAACTGCTGTCCTTATGGCTTGTACTAGGTTGCTCTCAATATGCCTCTTTTTTGAATGAAGGTAAATATACGTGATTCAGGATAAAGATGCGAGATCGAATTTGCGTTGGTCACCAAGTCCAGAGATTTACTCTTGCGATCTGCCTCTTTCTGCGTAAATTGGCTGACTTCATCATGCCCTGTGCTAAACTGTAAACTAGCCAGATTATAATGGAGTTAGCTGTGGATCTTGGCAGAGAGAAGGAGGAGCCTTTAAGAAGGGGACCTAGAGACGCAATTGTACAGTCCAGAGGTTGACCCATGTATGAGAAAGAAGTTCAAAATAAGTGACTTAATTTTATTTTGTATAAAATCGTACAGGAAGAAACTCTTGAGACACTTTGAAGACTGATGTCAATAGATCCTACAGGAGTTTCAGGAATGTTGCTTTATTTTTGTACGGTATAAAAAAACAATCTTGAAAGGCTGTCCAAATTTATCCAATCATGTAGTGGGCTTATTCATCAAATTAATGAAAAGATTCATAGTAAATATCATAAGAAACTGATCGTCATCGGAAATACAATTTTGTGGTCACTAAGAGTCAACACTGCATGGCACATAATGTAAACATCTAATATATCCATATTGAGACAATTGGGGCTTAGCATAATGCCAATCCTTGCTAATTATTAGAATATTCTTTCCTGGGCCCCCGAAGGTAAATGGGTATTCAAAAATATTCTGTGTGGGGAATATCAATGTTTTAAGTGGCTTGTGTCTGAACTTAAACATATTTCAAGTATTTGGGTCTGTGCATGGAGCAGAGTAGTGCTGAGTTGATGAGCACAGAGAGCTAAATAATGTTTTTATGGTTAATGGTTTGTAGAGGGGAAGAACAGGGAAAAAGCTAAGATAATAGGTCTCCAGAATTGTCCCTTCTTCCCCTCATCAAGTCACAGAGTACCATATCTCACCAGCTGGCCAACTCTGATGTTTCCAGTGCATTCCTTCTCTTCCCAACCCTGCCAGTGTGGCATTTCTCACATGCCTTTTTGTATGCCCACTTTTCCAATGCTTTTCCTTCTCCCCCTTTGACCAGGATGCAGGAGCCTGGGAGCTATGTTCTAGGAGGCACTTTCCATTCAATTTAGGCAATCAAAAACATCCAAGAAGCCTGTCTTTCCTCCATATAAAAATAATAAAAACCATATTTTAAGCAGCCATCCACGCAACCTGCTACCTTTAGATGGGCAGGACTACAGCTTTATCCTCGACCTACATAGCCATATTTAGGGATTTATATTTAAGCACACAATGGGCTCCAGGCTGGGGAATATTGGTGTAGTAGACTTCTGAAGATCTTCTGCAATGCACAGGAATCCCCAACCATTGGGGATAATAACAGTATAAGGCACTTTTGCTTCTGTCTCCTGAAAGTGTGGAGGGGAATAAATAATAAAAGAACAGCAAAACCTGGCAGATGACACAATTTACTTTCTACATGTGAAATTATTTGCCACCACAAAGGACCACCAAAAAATCTAATTATTATATGCTATTTGAAAGGAGCTAGTGTGACACAGAGGCACACAAACTGGAGCCCGACTTGAAGCAGTTAATCTGAATGTGTTAACCCCAGTTCAAAACAGTGCTGCTTTTAAAGAAATCTGTTGGGGAAAAAATACTTGGCAGAGAAGCTTAAGGTGTCTATCCATTAGAGCAGTGGTTCCCAAACTTGGCAACTTTAAGACTTGTGGACTTCAACTCCCAGAATTCTCCAGCCAGAGAATTCTGAGAGTTGAAGTCCACAAGTCTTAAAGTTGCCAAGTTTGGGAATCACTGCATTAGAGAGACCAGAGAAGTGAGAAAATATGAAACACCATAGAACTGAAGGCAGCTCACTTATTTATTTATTATTTTTATTTAGCTAGTTTGTCATTCATGTACAAGATAACCGAAATAAGAATAAACATGAATAAGAACACAGGAAATGGGTACAAATAAATGGGGACAGGGACGTTATGCATGCTGGTGCACTTATACACGTCCCTATTTCAAAGCATATTTAACTCCTTGGAGTTAAAAAGCCAAATTATAGGTCGGTACGCTTCAAACTGCATCAGTCTGGTCATAAAACACGTCAGTCCTCCGACTTTCTTCAATCAGCTTCCCCCTTTTTTTTCCTTTTCTTTTCTTTCTTTCTTTTTTTTGGGTGTGTGTGTGTGTGTGTGTGTGACTTTTCGTAACCCATAATTGCTCCGCCTCTTTCTTTTCCACCAGATTCCTCCAGGTAGTGCGGGCAAGACAAAGGGCGGGGTCTGGGCTTCCTTCGTGCCTTGTGCGCAGGCGGGGCGCAGATTAAGACGGCTTAAAGGTGCGACGAGGCCCAAGGGGCTTGTAACTAAGCGGCTACAGCGAGGGGCAGGCAGCAGCCCGTGACGTCACAGGGGGCGTGCATGTAAGTCCTCCGGTTACAGCAGCTTTCCTTCTTCCTCAACCTCTTTTTTTTTGCGCGTCAGCTGATCCGCTCCAGTCAGCAAAAAAAATCGGAAGCCGCCGGTTGTCTCGCCCGGACGCGCCGCTCCCTTCTCGGTGCTGCTTGTTGCACGCCTGGAACTGAAGAGGGGTCGCCGCAGAAGGAACCAGCCCCGTCCACCCGTGGGGACGCAAGGGAGAGAAAAAACTGAGAGCTGGGCTGGATGTCGACGCCAGCCTCTCCCATTACAGACCCCGTCTCTAGTTCGTGCCCCAGCTTGACCGCCTCTTCTTCCACCACCGCTATCCTCAGCACCGTCCAAGCTGACAGCCTGCAAGCTCCCAGGGACGCCTTCCAGACTCCTTCCAGCTTGCCCAGCAGCCTCGATTCCCTCTCTGTCCAGCCCAGCAATCTCCAGGAATCTTCCAGTCTGGGCAGCCTTCCAGAATCTTCCAGCATCCAAAGCGACAGCCTTGAATCTTGTGCTGTGCAGCAAGAAAGCCCGGTTAGTTTTTTCCAGGACAGCCTGAATCCCTGGGATAACCAGGACTCTCTATGGCTCTACCCAGCTAATTTCCGGTCCATCTTCAGCCTGGGGGACAGTCTTGAGACCTCCAGTATCCAGCTGGACAGCCTGCAGTCGGTGGCCAGTTTGGGAGACAACACACAGGCATCCAGCATTCTCACCGATAGCCTCGAGTCTCCCTGCAGCTTGTCTGATAGCCTGGAGACACCCAACGCGCTGTACCATTGCTCCGGATCCTACAGCGTTTGACCCGGGGCCGGAAGCAGATTCTGTCAATCGGTTCTGCCATAGCCTGACAAGGATCAGACTAGGATTGTAGGAACCACCATTGAGCTTTTCACTCAGGGCTTCTTTCTTTCCTCGCTGACCTCATCTTTTCTCCTGCGCATCTCGGCCCAAGACGGTTTCTAGCAGCAGCGATGTCCTCTCAAACGGTTTGCCCTCAGGGGCAAAAGGTGCTGAGGCTTCC